TGTTGGGGGCGAAGGACCTCTTTCCTCTCCTCTCCCACTCTGTTCCCCTCGGTCTCCACTCACAATGTGGGCCATAGCTGGAAGGGGCAGCGCATCTGGGGCGAATCTGCACATGCTATGGACTCGGATGGGACCCTACCCTGATGCCAGCTGACTCTCAGCCACCTTGCCCTTCCCCCGCTCCACCTTTTCCCTTTGTTCCCATGGGTCCAGCCACCATCTTGATCTACAGACAAAACACATTCCTATGCGTCTGAGTGAATCCACCAATTCCATACACCAGTAGTGGTTCAACAAGAATTCCAGCCCATATCATCAGAGGGTCCCCTCCCCCTAAATCCCATGGCCCGGGCCACCAAGGAATTTCACTCAAATCACCTATCAGCATGTTAATCTAATACCATGCTCTGGTCTGTCACTGCACAGAATCCCTGCTGGACCCACAAGTCTAGGGAGGGGCAACACCCCTGCCCCCACCCCCCCACCCCCCTCAGCATGAAGCCACTACTGAAGATGAGATCTCTGCCCTAAGGCCAAAGATTTGTCACTGTCCATCTGTCAGTGGGGAATGTAGAGGCCGCTTTTAGACAACAGGCTTGAGCACTGGAAACCCAAGTAAGGCGAAAGGGCCCATGGTGACCCCCTGGCTGAAAGCAAACAGGCCCATTAGGGGACCCACCTCAAAATATCCATAAGCCCCAGCTGACCAATGGGCTACTTACAACCAGGCACAGGTACCAAAAAAACTAAAATTCCATGTGTTCCCCTACCTCCTCACTACCCCCCCTTAACTATAGCCCCCCACCACTGCCTCCTGGCAGACAGTCTCTCCTTTGCTGTCCTGATTTGATTCACACTGAGCATCTTTGACATCCCTTGCAGTGTATCCAATAAACTTCTATTGAAAGAAAGAAAGAAAAAGAAAAAAAGAGAAAGAAAGAAAGAAAAGAGAAGAGAAGAGAAGAGATCCTTGCCTCCCCAACATAGTACATCACTGATGATTTATGCTTCTTGCATTTACTGTTCACACCTACCACTCCAGCCTCTACTGTGAGGAGGAAGACAGCCAGGCCTACCCTGCTGAGTCAAAAGAACCTCAGCCAGAGGCACAGATGTTGGATAAGCTGATCAGCACTGGAGGCCTGATCCAGGAGAACACACAGCTGCTACAGGCTCTGGAAAATTCCAATCACACAGGCTGGGGAGCCACAGCAAAGGGCAAATAGCAGCGTGAGGATGGTAACAACGTAATTTTAAAAGTATAAATATAATAAATCAGTGCGGTCCAATATTAATAGCATCGCCAACTAAACCTATCCCAAAGGGAGCTCCTGGTCCTTTCTGTCCAACCCGCCCCTCTTGCAGTCGGCCATGTCACGCCCCATCTAGGGGAAATCCTGCCAGTGCTGCCTTCTAAACAAATCTACTGGGTATTCATTACTAAAGGGAAAAGGAAAGGTTCTGTTAGTGGTCACCACCTTAACCAAGGGATCCAAGTTACCATCACAAATGACGGAACAAACAGCCATCAGGAGCCCCCTGAGGTGATGACCTTAGGACACATCATCATGTGTGTGGTGTTCTTGCCAAAGATGCTCAGTGTGAATCAAATCAGAGGAAGCAATCAGAAAACTACAGATTGTGAGACACTATGGGATAACTGGCTTGGATTCTTCCAAATGTCAACGCCATTAAAAAAAAACAAGAACATCAGTAGAGAGCAGGATCAGCAAACTTCTTCTGTAAAAGGCCACAGAGTCAATATTTTAGATTTGTGGGCCATGAAACCCATCTCTGCAGCCACAGACAATATGCAAACCAATGGGCGTGGCTGTGTGCCAATAAAACTTTATTTACAAAGACAGGCGGTGGGCGGGATTGCTGAGCCAATTGTAGATTAAAGGATATTAAAGAGGCATGATAATCAAATGCAGTGCATGATCCTTGAACAGATCACAGGTTAAAAATAATAATAAATAGCTAAGGGGCGCCTGGGTGGCTCAGTTGGTTAAGTGACTGCCTTCGGCTCAGGTCATGATCCTGGAGTCCCGGGATCGAGTCCCGCATCGGGCTGCCTGCTCAACGAGGAGCCTGCTTCTCCCTCTAACCCTCCCCCCTCTCATGTACTCTCGCTCTCTCAAATAAATAAATCAATCTTTTAAAATAATAATAATAATAAATAGCTAAAAAGGACATTTTGGGAATAACTGGAGAAATCAGAATATGAGCTATATATTAAATATTAGTTATATATTAAATAATATTGGTATCAATATCATTATTATCAACGTTAAACTTTTCAAGTGTGATATTGGTGCTGTGTTATATACGAGAATGTCTTTGTTCTTAGGAAACACCAGCTAAAATATTTAGGAGTAAAGTGTTAACGTCCACAACTTAGTTTCAAATTGTTCAGAAAAAAAAAAGTGTGTGTATACATGTATAAACGCATCCATATCCGAGAGTGAAGACAAAGCAAATGTGCTGGAAGCTAATAACTGATGAACTAGGTGGTGAAGGGCATATAACTGACGACTGTACCATTCTTCCTTTTATTTTTAATAACTTAAACTTTTTTTGTTGTTTATTTTTTAGTAATCTCTACTCCCAACATGGGGCTTGAACTCATGATCCCGAGATCAAGCGTCACATGCCCTCTGACTGAGCCAGCCAGGCACCCCTATACCATTTTTTCTTCCAACTGTTCTGAGGGTCTGACATTTTTTTTTAAAAGGAGGGAAAATGTCTCCAGAAACTGACCCCTCCTCCCCACTCACCTGCCACCTGGAGTACTGGGGTCACCTCCTCCCTGCATTCAACCTCACCCTATGATTGCCAAAGGGATCCTATTAACATATGCCTCAGACCCTGTCCCTCTGCTGATACCCTCCAGTGAGTCCCATCTACTCAGGAGTAATGCCAAAGCACTGCAGTGGCCCACAGGCCCTGCACAATCTGCCTCTCTCTCCACCGGTTTCTCCTCTCCTCAGTCTCCACTCAGTCCCTTTGCTCAGCCACATTGGCCTCCTCGCCGTTCGTCAAACCTACCAGGCAAACTCTCACCTCAGGGCCTTTGCATGTGTGAAAATGCTTTTTCTTAGATACCTGCACTGCTGGCTCCTTCCTATCCTCCTCATATTCTCACTGAGGTCTCCCTGACACCCTATCTAAACTTCCAACCTTCCCCCAGACAGTCCTCTTTTTGCAACCCTAACGTTTTCTCCAGAGCAAGTACTGCTAGCTAATATAATTCATATTTTAACTATTTATTTTGTTTATCGGCTGGCTACCCCCCACCCCGTCCCTGCCCCAAGAATGTAAAATTCCCAAGGACAAGATCGTTTGCCTTTTCTTCTTTTCTGTATCCACATCATCTACACAACAGCCATATCTCGGTGCCACCCCCTGACTTAACATTTTATATCCATTTACTCCTCACAACAACGTAAGTATTATTTACAGCATAAATGCACATAGAGCCTATACACAAAGTGGGAATAATAACAGTGCCTACCTCATAATTTGTGAGGATTTAATGCTGGAAGGCCTGTGAAGTGCTTAGCATACGGCCTGGCACAAAGCCGAGTGCCCATTAAATGTTGCTATTATATAAAACCCATTGAAAAAATAAAAATAAAAAATAAAACCCATTGTACAGGAGAGAAAACCGAAGCTCCGAGGGGGTAAGTAACTCAGCCAGGGAGTCGTGGGGCCCAGATTAGAATCCATGGCAGTCTGACCCAAGAGGCCACTTTCTACACCAGGGCACTAAAACCCATCGCAGGGTTTAGAGGAAAGGCAGTGGCAGGAAACAGAAACTAACTCTGGGAATCCAGAGTGCAGGACTCAAGCGCTGATTCTTGGCATAAACTCCACGTGTGACCTGAGCAATTCACTTCTGGTCTCGAGGCCTGTTTTCTCTTCTATAAAGTGGGGAAGTCATTTCCCCTCCCTGACGTGGGGACAAAAACTGAGTGAGGGTCAAAGAGCGGATAGGAGGGCAGTCTGGTTACTGTGAAATCCGACGTTTCGCCATTCTAAGATCTGCAACTCTGGCAGAGGCCCCACAAAACACCAAAGGACCAAGAATTCCGCAAACTTTAAGCACCCAAACTTTTTTTTTTCTTTTTTTTTTATTCTTATGTTAATCCCCATACATTACATCATTAGTTCTAGATGAAGTGTTCCATGATTCATTGTTCGTGCACAACACCCAGTGCTCCATGCAGAACGTGCCCTCCTCAATACCCACCACCAGGCCAACCCGTCCTTCCACCCCCCTCCCCTCTAGAACCCTCAGTTTGTTTTTCAGAGTCCATCTTCTCTCATGGTTCGTCCACCCCTCCGATTTCCCCCTAAGCACCCAAACTTATAAGGAAAAAAGAAAAAAGGTACGCTCCCCTTAGCCATTTGGCCTTTGAGCATGCTCCCCGCTCTCCCTCGACATCATCCCTGCTGTCTGGGGAGATTCTCCTCACCCTTCAGGTCCCAGCCCAGAGGCCTCCGCTGCCAGGAAGCCCTCCCTGAAGGCCATGCCAGGTTAGGTACCTCACCTCCCAGGACCCGGGAGGCGGGGCGGGTGGCAACTGAAGCACGGGGTGGGGTTTTGGAAACCAAACTATCTAAGGATGGCCCGGCAAACCACCCGGGCAGTCTCTCCTCGGTCCCGCCCCTAACTCCTCGCAGTCCTGGGATGTTCCACCCATATTACTCCCGTCCCCCAAACTATTGGTTCGTCTGGACGTCAGGCTCCATGCGCTCTCTTCTCTATTGGCTGGTAATCCCAACTCGGGCGCTGGTGCCCTGCCCTGCCCCCTGCCCCACGCCTATTCGTACTATTGGGCTACCCGCATGCCCTTCTTCCAGAAACCCTCCCTATTGGCCGCAGGACTTTGCCGGTTCAGGCTGTGATTGGTTGTAAACAGAAGTCCATCCCCTGAGCAACCACCAGAGAGGGGTTGGAGAATGAAAAGGTTGGAGGGACGTGGGGTCAAACTCACGCTGAGCCGGCGGGAGACAGATATAGGTCTTGAAGAACTCGCTTCGGCGGGCGGCCTCCTTAATGCGGTTGGCAAGCGGCTTGCTGACCTGCCGGATGCCCAGGTATAGCAGCTTCGCCATAGGGAACGCGCCCACCACCATCTTGGCGGTCGCACTGGGCACGCGCAACCTTGCTGACTGGGCGGGGCGCCTGCGATCTCTCTCTCCTCCCCCGCCCGCTCGTCTCCGTGCGTGCGTACGTGCGTACGCTCGGGGGTGGAGCACTGCAGGGGCGCTCCCTGATGTCACCGCGTCGACGCTGACGCCTGACGTCCGATCGCTGAATATGCAAATAAAAGGCGGAAGTGAGGCGGGTCAGGGGGCGGTGCTGTTAAACGGCTGTTGGCCGGAGCGTGGTTGGATTCCCACGCCCACCTTGGCTGCTGTCACCGTGTTCCTTCGTGACGTCTTGTACTTAGGTGGCTTCCCCTCTTAAAGGAGGCTCTTAATTAGTCCTAATTAGGGCTAATGAGTCCCAAATACGCTTTCCCCGCTGGTTAGAGCTCTCACTGGGAGTAAGAAGAAACCGACCATGTAGTGATACAGACCTGGGTTGGGATCCCAACTCCGCCGTTTACTTGCTTGTGATGTTAGGCGAGTGACGTAACCTTTCTGGGCATCAGTATTCCCGTCTACAAAATGGGAATTATAATTAACACCTTGTTGGGCAGTTGTAAGGCTTGCATGAGAATCTTGAATGTAGAAACAGTGAGTGAACCGTGATAGGTGCTTAGAATGGTGCCAGTCACAATAAGCCCCCGAGAAATAGCCTTTATTGCTCTGCGGGTCTGAACGCTGTTATGGCTAACTCCAGCCTGAGGGTGCATTTCATCCCCAGAAATAGTGAATCCCAGCTGAGGCCCAGAGAGGGGGCCGGGGGCCGGCAGAAGGTTTCTCAGCCCGCAGAAGGTGATAGCCCGGCGTCTTGGCTGATAAAACCATACCCGTTTTCAAGCAGCCCCACTTCCTCCACTGGTGGGCGAGAGTCCCCAGGGAGCTGGCTCAAGAAGTAGTTTAAGGGGGCGCCTGGGTGGCTCAATCGTTAAGCGTCTGCCTTCAGCTCAAGTCATGATCCCAGGGTCCTGGGATCGAGCCCCGCATCAGGCTCCGTGCTCCACGGGGAAGCCTGCTTCTCCCTCTCCCACTCTGCTTGTGTTCCCGCTCTCACTGTGTCTCTCTCTGTCAAATAAATAAAATCTTATTTAAAAAAAAAAGAAGAAGTAGTTTAAGGACATGTCCCAGACTGTCCTCCTTTAGCCAGCAGGGAGCAAGATCATATAAACAAGGTCAGGAAGGGGTTGAGAAATTTCTGGATGGCGGACTCTTGATGGGTAATTGAGAACGTCTAGGAGAGGCAGAAGGAGCGATGTGTAGGAGGAAACTGGTTCAGAAGGCAGAGTGGGGGAGGAGGGGGTTTCCAGGGGACCCAGGGCTTTCCTCGGCATCCACTCTGACTCCTTCAGTGTCCTTTGTCAAATCCCTGACACGGATGGACCTCCGTTTCTCCATCAGTAATAATGATGGTACTGACATGCATGAACCCAGATATTCTAAATTCCTTAAAATACCAAGGCTCCATAAAAAGAACCCTTCCAGGGCGCCTAGATGGCTCTGTCAGTTAAGAGTCCGACTCTTGATTTTGTCTGGGGTCATGATCTCAGGGTCGTGAGATTGAGCCCCGCAGGTCAGGTTCTGCGCTCAGCCAGGAGTCTGTTTGGGAGTCTCCTTCTGTCCCTCCCTCTGCCCCCACTCTCTCTCTCTAATAAATAAATAAAATCTTAAAAAAAAAA